TCTATCTATCTATCTATCTATCTATCTATCTATCTATCTATCTATCTATCTATTATCTATCTATCTTCTTTTCACCTATCAGCAGCTGTCAGATTATAAATGGGTTATCAATTTTTGTTGATGTTGTACAGGAAATGCCCTAGAAAAGCAGAGATATATAATACAACAATGTACAGGTAGTCTCTGACTTATGACCACAACTGGGTCCAGAACTTTTGTTGCCGAGTTCTTTAAGTGAGTCACATCTAATTTTATGACCTTGTTTACAACCTTGTTTATGCCCTGGTATGGCCGTTAAGCAAATCACAGTCATCAAGTGAACCACGTGGCTGTTCAGCAAATCTGTTAATGGACTAGACTTATGCAATATACTGTACTGTGTCATAAACCGTACTGGTGTCGAACCCAAAAATTAACATGTGTGTAGCCATCTTAGATACCTCTATATTATACTTGTTTATTCCTTTTCTCTTTTCTTTGTCTGCATATGTAAAGGGTTTTTTTTGGGCTCATCACATTCTTTAGGTTGAGAGACAAGAGTTGATAGTGAGGATTATTTTGGTTAGGTGATATGCTTTTCCATGGGAACAGAAGCTGCTCCTGCTCCTGCTGAGAACGGAATGTGGAGTTTGAAGACACAGGGCAACGTGGATTGAGTGTTTATTGGAGAATGTGACTTTTGTGGGATGTTTCTAACTTACAATATTATGTGCTGTAATTCCGGTTTATGTCAGATACAGAATTACAACAGACTTGCCAATTTGATGCTTGCCTAAATAAAAGGAAATTTTGTTTTGGAAGATGGATTTGCCTGTTCCTTTTTAAATGGAGCTTATCACTTGGAAATCTGACATTCGGCTGAGTTCATATATTATGCTAAACAACCATCAGACCCATTGCATTACTTATTGTAACTCCAATTACAGTTAATAGCAGGACAGAAAAATATTTAAGATCCTAAGACAGGAATGAGGAAATTGGTTGCTGAACCAGTTAGCACGATCAATAATTTTAAAAAAAACACCGTGTACCTTGATACAATTAAGATTAGTTTATCAGCTATTACTTTCTGAGTAGATCCATACTTTAATTGCCACCAATTGATTACTGTAAGGCATCTGGTATGGGCTTCTTTTAAAAAGTGATTGGAAGTTGCAATGGATGCACAGTGCAGCAGCCAAACTGTTAACAAGCATATTTATTTATTAAATGTACATGTTGCCCATCTGTAAAAACCTATTCTGGCCAGTTTATTCTGGGCAGTGTTTATGTTTATCATTTAAATATAATCATTATATTTAAATCATAAATATGAAAGGCATTAAACATTAAATATGATCATAGTATCATACAATAGCCAAGTGCTTATTGAAATAATTTAAGCTGTTATTGGCCCAAAGAGTTTAGGGTTTGATTATCAGAGGGATTGCTTTTTTGGAACAATTTTCTGATTACTACAATCAATAAGAATAGCTCTGTGAAGATGTCCTTGATGTCAGAAAGCTTGAAGGATTTAAAAATAATAATAATTCACCAGGGCAATAGAAATAATTTAACCGTAACTCTCCCAATATTCACAAAGGCAAAAGCAAATTTTCATAATCAAGAAAACAATTTAGCATTTTTAAAAACACAAAACTACTTCTGCAGCTGTTAATGATACAAATGCTATGAAATCACAGAGACCAATCTCCTAGTTTGATTGCAATATTATTTCATACCTACTTTAAAAATAACCTCAATTATTAATGTGACAAGTCTGAATCTCAGAGAAGAGTCTCAATGATTCTGCACAAACCATATTTTTCTTAAGACCCAGAAATATGTAAATATATCAAGAGTTTCAGCCTTGAAGAGACCCCTGTAATACCTGAGCTGCCGTAGACGGGAGAGATGGGGCTGCTTCTCCTGGATTAGCTCCCACAGGCGCCCTGGGGTTGCGATGACAATCTCTGGCTTCCTCTTCAACATCCTCTGCTGCTTTTGAGGAGCCATTCCTCCCACAAGGATGGCTGTTTTAATATCTGAAGCAAACATTTAAATGTATGAATCACTGCTCTTGCTGTTACATTCAACTCCAGAGTATTTCTAGCAGAGGAATAATGGCATTTACTTTGTGAGAAGGCACTGGGTGACGGGCAAGTAATTTTCTTGCAGCCAGCTCAGTGTTTGAAGGATATGGGGCACATCACTGGGAATTTATTTATTTATTTATTTATTTATTTATTTATTTATTTGACTTATATACCGCTTCATAGGNGTATATAAATTTAAGCGCTATTGCTAAATAACATGGTACTGCAATTTGCTAGCAAGATAGATTTTGGTAACATAATTTCCATCCATTTCTTTTTTTCTCTATGCGTATTAACAGCACAAATAGTTGTTTGCCTCCCAGAAACTTCCTGCTCCTGTTAGCACCTTTATTTTTGGAGAAAATAGAATAAAATATTGCACTACTGAATATGAGTAGTTTGCCATTGAGTATTGGTGATGAGGGGTCCTTGATGCTCTCTGAGCTTGGTTGTTTTCTTGCAGGTGTTTTATTACGCAAACTAGATTGGGTAATGAAACATCTGCAAGAAAATAACCAAGCTCAGAGAACACCAAAGAGCCCTCATTTGAACCCGGAGCTACAAATATTCTCTTTTAGCTTTGGTAATATGGGTTAAGTGCGCTGAAGGGATTTTAAATTAGGGAGAGGGGGTCTTGTGTAGTTCAAAATCATCTGTCTCCTCATTACGAGAAAAAGGTGAGCAATTTCTGTCCTTGAGTCACAATAATAATTTTGTCAGTATTGCGGAAGCTGATGTCTCAAATGCAGTGATGCCACTTCTTGTCGTTTTAAGGTAGGAAATATATGAACATTGTAGTTTATGTTCTAAAATAGCATGGCACTGAATTCTCAAGTAGCTTTCCCCATCCCAAATCTCTTTCTAAAAGAACATGGAAAGAAAATGTGGATCCTTTCTAAAAGAACAGGGAAAGAAAATGTGGATCCTGCCTACCTGCATGATATACTAAAAACAAAATTGCAATTATGGTTGCACAACTGCAACGTCTTAACTCCAGGATACAATCGCCAAAAAGGTGCTCATCTCATCTAAATATCTCTTACCAAGTTAGAATGAAGCCTGCAGCTGAAAATTTCGTCCTTGCCCACAAATAGCTACATTTATTTTAGATCAAAAGAGACATGACCATATGGGCACCTTCTAGAATGGGAGCAAATGATAGCATAGATTTTGCATAATTTCAGAGATGCCATCATGATGCAACCAGGACTTTCTGCCATGTGGCCATTCTTTGTGACTGCATCCTGGCTAAGAGAGAAAGCATCTTTTTGGATACCTTCACAGCCTGCACACTCATTCCTACTTGCCTGTTAGCTCATCATCGTCCAGATCAAGTTCAAGTGCTTCTGCAGCTTGCTGGAGCCATGAGTTTTCGTGCTTGGCTCGGCTGTTGAAATACTCAATCTTCTCAATCTGCCTTGCCAAATTCACACGCTCCTGAAACAAAGAAAAGAGGATAACTAAGCTATCAGGTTATGTGCATGTGTGAATCATACAGGGACAGAAAACGGGCACAAGAGAAAAGTATCCTAAAGCCCGGTAAAGACGATTGAAATGGCAGAATGGAAAAGCTAGACAGAAGAACCAGCATAATGTGTAGCTTTTCTGCACTGTTATATAAAAAGAGTAACATAGTAGTTTGCTTAGCTTTGTGGGTCCCAATTGTGTACTGTAATGACCTATATTATGGGTGAAAGAACTAGCAAGGTGGAATATGGGACAGCCTGATATATCTTAATTTTACAACTACAGATCTATGATAAGGCATGTATTATATAGTCTTATATAAGGCTTTATATTATGCCTTATCATAGATCTTTAGTTGTAAAATTAAGGTATATCAGACTGTCCCATATTCCACCTTGCTAATTCATATACAACAGAACCATATAAAATATCATTGAAGGATGAATGTCTAAATTATATATTTTTGTTTCAAAAAATAATTAAATGGTGATAGTTGTAAAAGTGTATAAAAGCAGGGAAATTTAGACCCAATGAAGCTGACTGCCAATTGATGCAGGATAGACTAAAAAGCTTCTTTATATCTTGCCTGAGTAACGAAAGACAATAATTATGTCTAGCTTAGAAAGCTTTTACCTGATAATTACATCAATTCATGATGAGGATAACTCTTCAGTGACTATTTGCTGCAATACCTAACTGGAATCAATAGAAACAAGATACTCTGACTAATTGTTCTAATTGTCAAGAAATTTCTCCTTAGTTCTAGATTGCTTCTCAAAATAAGAAGAAATTTCCTGACAATTAAAACAATTAATCAGTGGAACCACTTACCTCCAAAAGTTGTGAATGCTCCAACACTGGAAGTTTTTAAGAGATTGGACAACCATTTGTCTGAATGGCTGTCCAATACAATGGTTGTCCAAAAATAGTTCCTTATTAAACTGAAACGAGGCATTGAGCAGGGTGTGACAAGATTCAACCCCAAGGTCTCTACTCTTCAATTTTTTTACTGATTAGTTTAAAAAAGACATGGAGAAACGGTTTATCAAATTTGCAGAGGACACAAAATTGGTGGGATAACTAATATTCCAAAAGAGGAAGATTTAAACAATCGTGGCAGGGGTCTAAAAATGATATATTGAGATGTAACTGGGACAATATGCATTTTTTCCACTTAAGAATGTTAATCAAATGTGCAGTATAAAATGTGAAATATTTGGGATGGTAATCGTATTTCTGAAAAAGATCTTGGCCCAGAAGCTGAATACAAATTGAATACGAGTCTGTAGAGATAGCCCTCGATTTATATCCATTCATTTAGTGACTGTTCAAAGTTCATAACCGCACTGAAAAAAGTTACTTATGACTGTTTTTCACATTTACAACTGTTGCAGCATCCCCATGGTCATGTGATCAAAATTCAGGTGCTTGGCAACTGGCGCATATTTATGACTGTTGTACTGTCTCAGGGTCATGTGATCACCATGCGTAACCTTCCCAGGAGGCTTCTGACAAGCAAGGTCAATGAGAGAAGCCAGATTCGCTTAACATTTGCAAGATTCATTTAAGAACTGCAGTGATTTGCTTAACAACCATGGCAAAAAAAGGTCGTAAAATAGGGTGCAATTCATTTAACAAATGCCTTGCTTAGAATCAGAGGTTTGGGGCTCAGTTGTGGTGGTGAAGTTGAGGACCAACTGTAATGTAATGAGACGGCGGGTGAGCCAAGAAGACAAAGGCACCTTTGGTGCAGTATTTTAACAGATTTGTTCAACAAAGAATGAATCCAATTGTCTGAGTTCCAGATTCTCTTGTTACCTTAGGTCAGTAATGGCGTCCTAAGGTAAAAGGAGATTAATTGTTCTAATTCTCAGGAAATTTATCCTCAGTTCTAGATTGCGAGCATTTTGCACTCATCTGGGCCGCAACCAGAAAGAGAGGCTGCCCAGGGGGCATGCGTGTGCCAGAAAATGAACTTTTGACAAGTCTTCCGGTTTCTGGTGCGCATGCGCATGCGCATGCACGGATCAGCTGGTCAGTGTGCATGTTCATGCAGGAAAATGGAAGACCAGCTCTTCCAGTTTCTGGCACTGCTGCACACACAAAGGTTAGCTGATCATTGTGTGTACATGCACGTCAGAAACCTGAAAGAGGAAAGGGTGCCGCGGTGCATGCCAGGCAACATGGCTCCACATGCCGCTTTGAGCATGCATGCCGTAGGTTCGCCATTACGGCCTTAGGAGCAAATTCAGGACCACAGGCCATAATCACCTCACAAAAATAAACACCAAAACTACGTAACTGTTCCTATACACAGGCTCTCCAATTAAGTTCCCAAATTGAATGGAAATGACCTTTTGTTTTAAGATCTCCACGAGCCAAGAAAAGTTATGTGGTTAAATGCATAGATAAATCTGAAATAAAAGTTAAATTTTACCTTGATTGCTGACATGTATTTTGCCTCAACTGGAAAGAAAGGAAGCTCTTCGTCCTTCTTCAGCGTTTTATAAATCTTTTTAAAATTAATCAAGTCATGGGGCCCAATCAGTAGCAAGCTCAGGCCCTCATTGGCAGCTCTGGCGGTCCTGCCACTTCTGTGAACATAAAGCTCGGATGTACGGGGAACCTGGAACAGCACAAGAGATGCAACAGTTCCACAGAGACAGGACAAAGCTTATATGTAAAGACAATTCTATAGAAGCCTTTCCAGCAGAGTTGGATGGATTACACTATTGTAATGTGACAGCCTGAGTAAGTTCACAGAGATGCAGAGAGTACCCAAGGTCAAAAACTTCTGACTCTGTAGAACTACTCTACAATTCTATGTAACCACTGAAAAGTCATAGACCTTAACACTCTGGTACCTGTTACTAGAATGACATAGATCATTTTCTTTTTACGAAGACGTGATTCTGGAAAATTGCTGGACCACTCCTGGAATGCCACATTGAGATGGACTAATAAAGATCAGTCTTCCTCAGAATGTTCCATCTTGGAGAGAGAATATTTTATGTATAACTAGCTGATAACCCAGCATTACCTGGGTATTTATTTATAGGGGGGAAATGTATGGACCAAACGTAATTTTTAACGTTGGGGGGAAATGTCCAGACCAAACAAAATTTCTAATGTTGGATTTTTCCCCTTACTAGAGGGAGTCCCCTTGTGGAATACTGTGAAGCCGTTACCATCGCAATTCCACTGCACTGTACAGTAGAATAATTTTATGGCAGTACAGTAAAAGCCATTTTAAGATACAACAGGCTGTATCTTAACAGAACACACACCTTGAGGGGCTTTAGCGGTGTCTTACTTCCATAGTATTTGTTTCCAGAGAGTAAGTAATCTGTATACCAAGTTTGGTTGAAATTGCTCGAGGCGTTCCAGAGTTATGCTGGAACACACACACACACACATACACACAAACCTCTTCTTTCCTTATGAAGAAGCTTAGGGTTAGGAAGCTAGGGGCAAGGAAATACAAAGGGGTTAAGTCTACCACTTGAAGATGCTTGAACCTTTAAAAGATGTATGCGAAGAGAAAATGTTATGGACAGCAACATCAAACTTCACTACCTTTCTTTCTACATGGCAATGCCTCAGCTCTCAGAGATGTATATTTCTCCTCTGTCAAGTAATAGTCTAGCTTATGCATCAAATTCTCTTCCTTTTGCCATGTTAAAACTCGCAAAGAGACCATAAAATCCATCTGTTCTTTTAAAAATTGCATAAAACATAACTTGCAAGCAATAGCTGGAGAGATACACATTTTGTTTTGGTACCTGGTAATGTATGACATGCTGTACATAAGGAATATCAAGACCACGAGCAGCTACATCTGTTGTCAACAGGGGACAGCTGAAATTACAGAAGGACAGCAGCAATTTATTAAACAGAACAGGGAAGGGGGGGGGGAGGCTCTTTACAATGTTCTCATCCGCATTCTACCAGATGGCCAGGTGGGTTAACCCAGCAAAATAGAATCTGTGAATATGTTACAATGAAGATAAAGAGATTAAGTTAGAGCATAGTGGACCAAGACAAACAGAAGATAACCTTATAATATATGAATTGTTTTTTAAAAAACTCTGGCTGGATTCTTCTAAAATTTCACATTGAAACTTATTTCCTTAGTTTTCATGCTTCAATGCACATGCTTATTTCTAACCTTTTTAAAATCACAATTATACTCAAAGAGACAATGCATAAAAAAGGTCTCTTATACCTTGCCCTCCCTCAACCATGCATGGCCTGGCAGTTGGATCCTTGCTAGCGGTTCAAAATTACAACTCCCATTCTCCCTAGCCACTATGCCTATTGCAAAGAATTAGAATTCAATCCATCTAGATGTGACCATATTAGGAAAAGCTGACCTATTTTTTTTTTAACCCTGACCCATTTCAGAATAAAGGAAGGTCTAAACATGCACATTATCCATTAACCTCCAGACAGTGACAACTTTCAATAAGGGCATATAATCGTACAGAGATGTGATGAAAACAAAGAAATGATCAAATTGGAAAACTCAGTGGGCACAGGCTTGCAAGTATATCAGGATGGGACAAATACTGGGAATGGAAACTCTGAAAATAGTAAATAAATAACAAATAAAAAACAAACAAACCCTAGGGTGGGCTGGAAATCTGGATCCTGTTTTTATTTTTTTCCAGTTTCTATTATATTAGTATCACATTCAGAAACACTTGGGGGTTTGTTAGATGAACAGAGGCTTGTGTTTAACAAATAAGCCAAATTTTGCTGTCAAATTACTTAACCAAAATACTTGTGAATAAATTAAAATGTATTGACTCAACACTATATCCCCTTATATTGAAACTATTCTAGGCTCTGAAGTTGAATTTCAAAATACATGAGAAATCCTGGGCTAGGTGAGGCAAGACCATAAAAAGGAAGATTCCCTCTCAGTTTACACAATGGCTTAAAACAGTTTGCTGTCTTAATAGACGAAGGCAAAAAAAGCAAATAAATCAGTCAATTGTGATTAATGAATATAATTAGCTATAAGCTATAGAATACAGCTTTAGAAAGCTAAAGCCTTTGGTGAGTAAAGTTCAATTCCTGGTGACTCCACAGGAGCATCCGTGTCGTTTCTGCAGCAACAGAACAAAATAGGTTTTGTCACGGCCTCCTTTTGGGATTGTTTTTCATTTCCTATTCTAGCCCACAGCTAGGGCATTTCCGGGTGATCTCCCAGCCAAAATCTGATCAGCTAAGGTTGGCTACTGATTCTATCAAAATGGATGAAGGCAGCATTTCTTAAAACAAAAATAAGAATTATTTTTAAAAGTAATATAAGGTTATTCTCTCCCAAAGGAGATTCTAGCAGCTTTTGACAGTATAGATCAGAGATGGCTAACCTCTTCCAGACTGAGTGTCCAAAGCACGCGCCCCAAAATGCAATGTACGTGCAGCCCACTCCCCACACGCCTGTATGGCCCTCTTCCACGTGCCTCACGCATGCGCAGTAGAGATCCGACAATGAGCTGGCCAGCAGGAGGCACGCACACATGCATGGTGGAGCTGAACTAGGGCGACCGCTCGCGTGCCCACAGAGAGCGCGCTGCGTGCCACCTGTGGGCATGTGTGCCATAGGTTCGCCATCACGGGTATAGATGAACTGTCAAACTCTCTTTTTATTCTATTTACTTCATTTGTTTGTGGACAATTCCTGAGCTTTTTTATTCTCTCTCTGCTTGCTTTTATTGGGCCTAACACAAAAGTGATCCATTTTGGACAATTCCTTTTTACTAGAGAAACAAGCATATAAACTCAATTTAGCCTGTGTATGTATGTGTGTTCATGCATACATACTCACACATGTATTTTCATTGTATAAAATACATAATTATATTATTTATTCTTTACTGAATTGTTACTTTAGTTTACATTTAGAGAGCCACTTTGATGTAGTGGTTAAGGTGCTGATCTAGGAACAAAGAGACTGTAAGTTCTAGATTTGGTTTATGCATGAACGCCAGCTGTGTGAGTTTGGGCCAATTATTCTTCCTCAGCCCAACTTACCACAGAGGGTTGTGGTAGGGAAAACAGGAGAAGAAAGGCATATTGGTATGTTCATGAACTTGAGCTATAATATAAAAAGAAAGCTGGGATAAAAATCTAAAACAAGAGAGAATTAGATGCTGACCTGTTCTGTTCGGCAAATCTCTCCAGATTTTTTAACCTTTGCTTCTGGTGCATGTTTGCATGAAGAGGCAGTGGATTGCAGTCCATGATGGTCAAGAGTGCAGTGAGTCGTTTGATACAATCTATGCTGTTTGCAAAAACCATGGTTCTGCCTGGATATTGCAACAGGAAATAATAAAGATAGTAATCTTTCTCTTCTGTATCACAATGGATTCTGGTCTCTGTAAGAGTCTCCACAGTTGCTTCTTTTCTGGTCAAATCTATCACTTTGGGCTTTCCCCTGATGCCCACTTTTTGCATCAACATTTCCAGCTTGGTCTTCCTGTCGATTTTGACAGCATTTTTCTTCTGCAGAACTCTAGTGGGAGCTTGATGGATCAAAGTCAGGGTGGCAGAGAAGACAAATATCTGACGTTTTGGGTTATGCTGTGTGTCGCTCAACATTTCCAGCAACTGAGACAGCTCTAAAAAATGCCCCTTCTCCACCATCCGGTCTGCTTCATCAATCACCAGGCATCTGTCAGATGGATGAAAAATAATTTGAAAGTTTTTATACAAGGTATCTGGAAATGAAACAGCGTTCAGAAAAGCCTATTTTTTCCCCATAGCAGCTACAGCAGGTCCTTAGCTTGATCCATCGGGGCATTTCCAATGTTATTGCACTGATTATGTGCTCACTTATTTAAAATACTCTGAAAACAACATCATCTCATCAGATGTTATGATTATCTATCTATCATCTATCTATCTATCTATCTATCTATCTATCTATCTATCTATCTATCTATCTATCTATCTATCTATCTATCTATCTA